ATTGCATCTGAACGAATTATGATGGGCTGTTCAAGGAACTGAATTACTCTGCTGCATTTTTGAAAATATATATCTATGCTTGGTGGTTATTGTACTAGCTAAAGACACAAAAATAAATGGGGAAGACTGCACGGTCTTTTTAATCCGGCAATGACTCTAAGAGAATCCGGTTTGGCGCTAACGACAATTGGTGCACCTTCCATAAACTAGCAACTGTTATTGGATTTTCGAGAAAATCCCCATGAAGATGTCGGGTGGTACAAAAAGTAAAGCAACCACAATAGCAAGAATCGTGGTAAATCGGGGAATTCCCTTGTGGGAAAAAAAAATCATTGGCGACGCGCACTGGCGGGCCCGTGCAATCATGCGTTTTTGCAGTGTTTCGTGCTGTAATAAGATTACTTGAAATTCCGCTAGCTAGAAACCTGTTGTACATACTGGTCCTCGAATTTCGGAAACTTAATTATTCACGCTATAATAGGACAGGGAGCATTTCCTTGAAATCCCATGTTCCCAGCTTTCTCAGTTCCCGAGTTACCAAAATTGCAGCTAGAAAATTTCATGCGGCCGTGTGTAGCCACCACGCATAACGGGGGGAGGGGGGGGAGGTTGAATTTGATAAATTCAAGTTGTAGATGAGTTGAGAACATTTCTGAAAGTTTCAGCCTCCCAGCTTCCCTGGTTCCGGAGTTATTCATTTTCCCGCCAAAAAGATTCCACGGAGCCGTACGTGGCAAGCACGCATGGCGGGGGCTGAATTTGATAAATTGAAATTGTAGATGAGCTGGGAACATTTCCTGAAAATTTCAGCCTCCCAGCTTCCCTGGTTCCCGAGCTGGCGGTTTTCGCGCCAGGAATCCTCTGGGGGCCGTACGCGGGAACCACGAACCCCCGGGGGCTGAATTTGAAATCTTTGAGTTCTACTTTGACTGGAAACATAATCCCAAAATTTCAGCTTTCTAGCTTTTCTGGTTCTCGAGTTAGCGATTTTCCCGCCAAAATTTTGAGGCGCTCATACGCGTGGCCTAGACGTGCTTGAGGATTGGTACCGCGGTCCTGGGGTGGCACTTGGCCGGGAAACCCACTCGCAAAATTTTGGCGCCGGAGCTTGCTTGGGTGCCGAGTTGAAATGCCCGGACGGACGCACACACACGCGCACACACACACACGCACATACACACACACACACGCACATACACACACACACACACACCGGAGCCGTCGCAATATGCGTCTTCACATTTGCATATTATGGAAAAACGCATAATTATGAGAACGTACGGTCAACGGGCATCGGCGTGATCATGGTGCAGCCCCAGTCATTTCCGCCGAGTTTTCTGATTGAAGCAATGACGAGCATATGAGCTTCAGAAGCAACTGACATTCTTTGGTTAGAGAGCTTATCACGTATCCAAACCGTAATCGTTTTATCTCCCGTCACAGTGTACTGCCACAGTGATCCAGCCTGAAACATTTGTGCCGATCCTATATGTTGACATAGCTGGGAACGTCAAGCCTGCTCAGATTCGATGCGCTTGTGAACAGTAATAATACTCATATATTCACACCCCTGGCCTAATTTATTTTGGTTTAGATGGGATTAATTTCGTCTTTTTTCATTGCTCTTTTTTTTCAAAACGAACGTCTGAACTTCGTCGGTTTCTGGAAGAGCCCGAATTGCTTGCAAGCACTCTAGGTGTTTATACAGTATAGCAGGCGGCCTTTTGAAAATTGCTGTGAACTGGGGTGGGAAGCGATCCGTTCTTTTCAACATCCGAACACAGCGTAATATTTACTACACCACCGGTAACTGTGCTCAACGCACTTGCCGAACAGTCTATAATATGAATGTATACACTTCATGCCGATGCTGCAACCATTGTGCAGCACATGTTTTAATTCTTGCTGGCTTTTCACGGGACTTCCTCAGTAGTTAGTATGAGGCGAAAAACATGCCGCTGAAGAGGTTGTCGAATGGCTCCCTGCGTTGCAAAATCCCTGATCTCGGACAGAGAAAAAAGATAATTCTTGAATTACCAATTAGTGCGCCACGCGGTTCAATACAGTAATAATCTAATTTTCTTCACAGCAACACGGTGAACAATTTTCTTCAAGCGGATCGGAAACACACAAATAAAATTACAATTCTTCCAACCAAACCACCACAGACCAAATTCTTCGAGGCTCTCTCCCCTCCAGCCCACAGCCGCACGCACCTCTTCTCACACAGTCCTCTCCAAGCCAGCTATTCCTGTCCATCCGTAAGCCCTAGTGACCTCCCTCCGTGCGCCCAGGTTTCCTTCGCTGGTGCAGTTTTCGTACTATACCACCGATGAAAGTGTGACCCTTCTAACAGAAAAACAACTGCTTGGAAGATTCGCGAAGGTCACTTGCGATACTTCTGAGAATTGTCTAACTGGGAGTGATAGCAGTTTCGGATCATTAGCATGCACTAATGTCAATCAAACACTGAAAGGCATCTAAAGAATTGTAAAGGGGTGAGAGTAGTGTTGTCCAGGCGATCTCGGCATTCCAGGCATGCAGGGTAAGGAAAAATTTGTCAGCATGTAATCGCTATTTTGTACAAACCTTCATAGTTTGTTGCAACTCGGTCACTTTATTCTCTCGGCTAATAGTCAAGGAAACATTGTGGACGTCTTTTGTATGCATGAGTGTTGCATTGGTGGCACCAAGCGGCATTAGAAACAACGATATCGTACCATCTGCAGCTGGCGCTGGCAGCGAAAATGCATAATATCCACCTGCCATACCAAGCGGGTGCACTGTAATTTGTATTTCTGTGGCCGATGATTTTAGACTTAGCTTAGGTTAAAGATTTTTATGATGCAATACGAAACAGCGCTGCTGTAATATAGTAGGTCGTAGGCTTTAGCCTGCCAACAGTCACCCCCTCTTTTGGCGCAACCTGCTGTTCCTTATTTTTTCCAATAATGAACTGACACAAGCACTTGCCAGGACGTCAGACACATCATCAGCTTGCTTTTGATTAGTCACCGCAAAAGGGAACATAGACAGATTTGCTGTCGGTCGTTAGCAGTCAGATTAAAGTCTACAAGGCAATTGTTCTCCGACTCAAAGAGTGTAGTTACCAAGATCACAGCGGCAGTTTCTGTGGGGATTTCGGCTGCAACAGTACAAGGCAAGCACTTCTCGTATCAACAATACATGGCTCAGCCTTTCGACGACGTACTGATTCCTGGACGTGACATAGCAGAGCAAAAATAAACACCAGTGGAACCACAAGATGCTACATTTTTACTAATACTGTTGCAAAAAGCCAGCAAAGAAGCCGCCGCAAAGGAAAAGAGAAAAGAAAGGTGTCTTTTG